AACTTAATAGCCGTTGACAAAATCTGCCCCATAATCGAGCAATTTCAAACATATCACGTCATAGGACTAAGAGCCCATCTCCGCTAGCAACATCGTCTTGAAAGTAGTCATCGACGTTGACCCCCTCGAGATCTTGAAACGAATCCTCAATCTCCCCAAAATTGTATTCCAAAGCCGGAAAGTGATCGGCCCACTTTGCAAACTCATCGGACTCTTCCAAGCTCGGCACGTCATCAAACAACTTTTGATCCTGCGGTTGAAAATTGAAGAAAGAATCCAAGAATGGCAAGTCCATGGGCAAGTAGTCATTAGAATATTCGGGCACCACGTTTGTTTCCCCTCGACACTCCTTCATTGGCTGAACCGGTTCGGGAAAACAGACCGGCCGGTTCACCTCATTATCCCGGACCGGGACTGACGGGCTCGGCTCCTGACCCACGCTCCTGAACCGGAGCACGGAGGTGGGCGAGGGGAGGTTGTGGGACTCCTCGCCGGAATCGTAGCCGGAGCCGGAAAACGACGGCGGGATGGAGAAATTGGTGAGGGCGTCTGGGCCGCGGAGCTTAATGGCGGCGCTGTCGTATACCATGGCGGCCTCCTCCGCCGTGTCGTAGGTGCCCAGCCATAGCCGCACCTTTTTGCAGGGGTCCCGGATCTCGGCCGCCCACTTGCCCCACGGCCGCCGCCGGACTCCGCGGAACTTCCTCTCCCCGCCGTTCTCCGCCGCCCCTGCAGGATTGGGTTGTGGGTGGATGCTCTGTGCGGTCCGTTTCCTGCCGTTGGTGCAGTTGCCGGCGTCCATTCTGATTTCTCTGATGTATTTCTTGACGCGCCGCCGGCGGAAAATCCCCTCGTCGTCGGAAGAGTCGGTGGCGTAGGGGTCTGTGACGGAAATACGGATTATTTTAGGGGCCTCTTCGAGATTTCGGAAATTCCGGTGTTCTTGGGGATTTGGTTTATCGAGGCTCTGTTTGGAGGGTTTAATGACCGTTTTGGTGATTTTCTTGTGTTGGGTGTATTTTACAGGGTCGCAGAACAAGCTGTCCATGGCTATCCCGAAAAACACTACACAGAGGCTAAAAATTTTAATCTCTAATAGCATTCGAAAGAGAAAAAAATATTGAACCTTTGAAATGGGATAAAAAAGGAAAAAGAAAAAGGGGGAAATCACTTTGAAGAAGTGATTGCACGAGGGCTGAGATTATTTTAAAAGAAAAAAAAAAGTGGGGCAAAACTGCAAAGCGTAATGAATCTTGAACAAGAAGCTTAAAAAAAATAGAACATAAAGAATCAAAACTCTGACAGGAAGTAAAAGAAGAGCAAGAAACTCTTCAAAAGATGGGATTTTGAAGGAGAAAGGAGAGAGATGAGCATGGGATTTAAAAGGTGGGATTTTTAGTTTCCTTTTTTCTTCCATAAAAAGTTGGAAACGATTTGTAATTAAGAAATAAATTAAGTGTAGCAAATCTGAATTATTTTTAGGTGTTGCCGGAATCCTAATTTTTCTTTTGGCGTTTAAATGTTTTTAAGGAAAGAGATGAGATGATATGGAAACAACACTGAAACGCTGTGTTATATGATCGTCGAAATTTGTTGCCAAAAATATTGCAGAACAATTTTATTATTATATTGTTTCTTTCTACGTAAACAAAATAATAAAACAGAACTTCCCATTTGGTCGGTATAATAAGATTTTACGAAAAGTGTTCAAGAAATGAGAATTTACAATTCATTTACATTTGACTAAATATAATTTTTCCTTTCCTGCACAAAAAATAGGAAGTTTAAATTTTCAAACTTACAGTGTTAAACCCAATTTTGTTAAGAGTAATCAACATGGATCCCAAAAAAGCCAATTAATTCATGTTTAAAAGATTTTTCGTATAATACAGGAGAGTTTGGTGCATTAAACCCTATACTTGGGGCAAGTTTGCTTGATTTATTTATTTATTTAAAAATAAAAAAAAAATTAAGTGGACAAAAATCAAAAAATTTAAAAACATGTGGACAAAAATCAAAATCACGTATTTTGAGAATACGTTTTTATTTAAAAAACGTATTTTCAAAATACGTTTTCTAGTGTAAAATGTATTCCGAAAATACGTTTTAGTATAAAACGTATTCACATAATACGTTTTAAAAAAAATTAATAAATAAAACGTATTTTGATTATACGTTTTACAAATAATTAAGAACTAAACAAATAAATAAAAACTAAAACGTATTATTCAAATACGTTTTATTTCTTAATTATTTATAAAACGTATTTTGATAATACGTTTTATATTTCAAAATTAATGAATAAAAAAATTAATATATAGTATGTGTTTTGTGTTTTGGGCTCGTTTGGGCTCGTCTGAAAGTTTTTTCCTATACGTAGCTAACGAAGCCCTCTATCCAGTGATGCTTGCATGGCCAAATTATTCTTGAAATCATATTCTCCCAAAGATCTTGACCGATACATTAAACGTGTTTCGCGCGACTTTGCTTTTTGGGCCCGTTTAGACTCGTCCAAGCTCGAAATTCATTACCGCTTCTTTCTACATGTCGCCAACGAACCCAACTACACAACCATGATTGCCCAGTAAATTTTCGGGCTAAATCTGTTCCTCACGGGCTAAATAATTAACAAATCACCCATTATATAAATAGATGGTCCACGGAGGATTTGTTAATAGGTGATTTGTTAATTATTTAGCCCCATGATGAATAGATTTAACCCGAAAATTGACCGGGCAATCATGGTTGTGTATATGGGTTCGTTGGCGACATATAGGAAGAAGCGGAAATTAATTTTGAGCTTGGACGAGTCCGAACGGGCCCGAAAAGCAAAGTCGCGCGAAACACGTTTAATGTGTAGGTCAAGAGCTTTGGAAGAATATGATTTCAAGAATAATTTGGTCATGCATGCATCATTGAATAGAGAGGTTCGTTAGCTACGTATAGGAAAAAACAAAACTCAATTTCGAACGGGCATTGTTGTCGTTCGTGGTCACGACGTCTTCTACCTCCACCAATGTTGGCAGGGGGTTGATGTCTCGCCCTCTGTGACTGTGTTTTCTGGGATGAGACGTTTCGGATAGAACTTGACTGAACGACGCTCCTAGTGTGACCTCTTGGCCTCCAATAGTCAGAAAACTATAGGCAATTTTCGGGTTCAGTTTATTCCTCATGGGCTAAATAATTAACAAATCACTCATTATATAAATAGATGGTACACAGAGGATTTGTTAATAGGTGATTTGTTAATTATTTAGCCCTGTGAGGAATAGATTTAACCCAAAAATTGACCGGGAAATCATAGTTGTGTAGACGGGTTCGTTGGCGACATATAGGAAGAAACGGAACTCAATTTCGAGCTTAGACGAGTCCGAACGGGCATTGTTGTCGTTTGCGGTCACGGCGTCTTCTACCTCCATCAATGTTGGCAGTTGATGCCTCGCCCTGTGTGATTGTGTACTCTGGGATGGGACGTAGTCCTCCTCGGATAGAACTTGACTGAACGACGCCCCTTGTGTGACCTCTTGGCCTCCAACAGTCAGAGAACTATAGGCAATGTTGTAGGACTGTTGGTAAGATAACTATAGACAATGTTGTAGGACTGTTGGAATGCGGCCTGCGCCCGTGGAGGGAGTGTAGGAAATGTCTTGAATATTCGCTAACGAGTTATAAACCCCCTTCAGGGCTTGAGTCTAAAAATAAAATTCAAAGTAATTAGTATGAAACACCAAAAAAGAAAAAAAGAAATAATAAAAAACCACAAATTATGAATACTTACATCGCACTTCTCCCGCTCGGCAAATGTCTGATAGTCGCCGTCCTGTTGGACCACCGTGTACTTGGTAGGGTCACTGATAAGTCTTACAGTCCTAGTGAAAAACCAATCAATGTAACCCTACTCAGCCTGTAGAAAGTGATCCATAGGGCATCTTGGAGGACATTTTGTTCTCTTTCATCGACTCAGCCCTTGGTAAGCTGTGAATGAAAGGCGGCCCGATCACCAAATGCCCTCCCAGTCATTCCACGACCTCTGTGGTGTGTCTCTCATTCTTGCTCACCACTAATCATCGGATTTTGGGGGATGAACTGCTGACACCCAAACTGACGGAGAACCTTATCAGAAAAGTGGACTTCACGTATGTTCCAACAGAAGATCCACCCCCTATACATCCAAATATGTTGATCTTCTGTGCACTCATCCGGGAGAGTACCTATAGTTCTCTGACTATTATAGGCCAAGAGGTTACACAAGGGGTGTCGTTCAGTCAAGTTCTATCCGAGGAGGACTACGTCCCATCCCAGAGTACACAGTCACACAGAGCGAGGCATCAACCCGCTGCCAACATTGGTGGAAGTAGAAGACGCCGTGACCGCGAACGACAACAACGCCCGTTCGGATTCGTCTAAGCTCGGAATTGAGTTCTGTTTTTTCCTATACGTAGCTAACGAACCCCTCTATTCAATGATTCATACATGACCAAATTATTCTTGAAATCATATTCTCTCAAAGCTCTTGACTTACACATTAAACGTATTTCGTGCGACTTAGTTTTTTGGGCCCGTTCGGACTCGTCCAAGCTCGTAGTTGAGTTCCGTTTCTTCCTATATGTCGCCAATGAACCCGCTTACACAACCATGATTGCCCAGTAAATTTTTTGGTTAAATCTATTCTTCACGGGGCTAAATAATTAACAAATCCTATATGGACCATCTATTTATATAATTGGTGACTTGTTAATTATTTAGCCCGTGAAAAATAGATTTAGCCCGAAAATAGACCGTGCAATCATGGTTGTGTAGAATGGTTCCTTGACGACATATAGGAAGAAGCAGAAATCAATTTCGAGCTTTTTTTTTTTTCCAACGATATAACAGCTCCATTAATACCAAAATGGCGAAAGAGTACAAGGGAAAAACCCCAATTCCGAACAAATGAGAGAACAAGCCACAGGCTTGCCTAAACAAACTTACAAACAATCATCTAAACCACAGCAAACACCAATCTAAGGAGAGACTCAAGGACATGAACAAAAAGCACAGAAATCCTAGACTGGAACTACAACACAGCTATAAAGAAAATAAGCACAAGAAGCATACATACACAAGCCAAATAACCCACTGACCCTAGACCTAGGCTACAGACTTGGTACTGTCTTCATCCAGAAATGTGTCTGCACTTGTAGTCAATCCAGTCTCTAACAGCAGCCCTAACAATCCACTCCTCTGGGTGCCATTGTCCTTCAAAAATCCACAAGTTTCTAGCTCTCCATAGCCACCACAAGATGTATGTGGATAGCTGAATCCGAGCTTCAGAAATGTCATCCTTCTTCATATTGCTAGTCCACCACCACCACTGTTTGACTGTAAGTTGTTCTTCAAGGACCCTATTCCACTGGACTGGAGCAATTTTCCAAACTAGCACAGCCTTGCAACAGGAAAACAGAACATGCTATTGTGTCTCTGCTCCTTCCCCACATATTCTACATCTACCCTCAACATCCATTCCCCTCCTCTGCAGGTTAGAATTGACTGGTAAAATACCTGAAATGGCTTGCCACACAAAGTGTTTGACCTTGCCCATCACCTTCAACTCCCAGCATCTTCTTCTAGCTCTTTTATTTCCCTCAGCTTGCCCACTGCTCTCAGCCACTGCAGATGTAGCCATCTTAACAGCCAACATTGTACTATAAGCCTTCTTGACAGAAAATTTTCCTTTAACCACCAAATCACATTGCCTTTTATCTTCAGCTCTTGGATTCAAAGAAGTTATTTGCAATATTTTCCCAGCATCATCTTCCAAAAACAAAGCCCTAATAAGATTTCCATCCCAGTACATACCACCAGCCTGAAGGAGATCATGTACCCAGAAAAGATTGCCATCAATACCCACCTTAAGCTCAGGACTGCCTCTGTTCAGACCAGGCACCCAATTTGGATCATTGAGCCTTGTACTCTTGCCATTTCTGATGGTAATTTTAATATGTTTCTGCAAGTCAGGAAGGTAAGAAGCCCAGGAAGACCAAAGCCAAGAGGCCCCACCTGTGTTATTCCAGTCAAAGATAGAGCAGTTTCTATAGTACTTATGCATAAGAATTTGACTCACCAGCAGATCAGGTTTCTCAATGATCCTCCACAGCTGTTTAAGAATCAGAGCCTTATTAAACAACTTTAAGTCTTTGAAACCCAGGCCACCCTCAAGTTTAGGCATAGCAAGCTTGTCCCATGAAAGCCAATGCATACCCTTCTCTTTATCACCACCCTTTCTCCACCAAAATTTAGATATCAATTGGCAAATCTCCTTGCAGATGCTAACAGGAATCACAAAACAGGACATCACAAAGACAGGCAAAGCACTCAGCACACTCTTCACCAATACCTCATTTCCTGCAGTAGTAAGAAAGTGATTCTTCCAGCTACTAATTCTATCCTTCACCACATCAACCACAAATTTGAAAGTATCAATTTTAGAAGCCCCAATCCCAAGAGGAAGCCCAAGATATCTGGATGATCTTTTAATTTCAACCCCAGCCAACAATGTGGACAATCTACTACTGAGACCAGAATTGCCATTTTTACTCAAAAATAAAGAGGACTTACTCAAGTTCACTTTCTGACCAGCAAACAGCTGATATTTAGCAAGAATATCCAGCAGCAACAACACATGGGTTTCATCAGCTTTACAGAATACAAGAGCATCATCAGCAAACAGTAAATGGGAGATCATAGGACCTTTTCTAGAAATTTTAATGCCTCTAAATTCACCAGTAGATGTTTTATGATTTAACCAAGCTGATAGCACCTCAGAAACCAGAATGAAAAGATAGGGGGACAAAGGATCCCCCTGTCTGATTCCCCTAGAAGAATTCACATAGCCACACACTTTGCCATTCAAATTGAAAGAAAATGAAGGAGCAGCAATACAACTCAACACCCACTGAATAAATTTAACATAGAACCCCATCTTTCCCATCACTCTCCTGATACTATCCCATTCAATCCTGTCATAAGCCTTTTCCATGTCCAGTTTGAGAGCCATAAACACATGAGGCCCAGAACTATGTCTATGAAGATAATGGAAAACCTCATGAGCTATAACCACATTATCCAGCAATAATCTACCAGGCACAAAAGCAGTTTGAGCATTACTAATACACAACTCCAGGCAAGGCTTCAATCTATCAGCCAACAACTTAGCTATAATCTTGTACATCACCCCACATAGACTGATAGGTCTATAATTTTTCAGAGAGACAGGATACATACATTTAGGAATCAGAGTGATAATAGTATGCTTTAAGTTTTTCAACATGTGCCCGGAAGAGAAGAAACTGAGAATAGCTCTGCATACATCATGTTTGATAATATACCAGAATTTTTGAAAGAAAATAGCTGTCATACCATCATCACCAGGTGCTTTCTCCGGGGCAAGACTGAACACCACAGCTTTAATTTCCTCCTCTGTGAAGGCTTGCAACAACTCAGAGTTAACAACATCAGAGATAGAAGAAGGAATGTGTTGCAGCAGTTCCTCACCCCCACTTGATCCTTCTGATTTGAACAGCTCTGAGTAATAACTGGATATGTGGCCCTTGATATCCTCAAAGTTGGAAAACACCTCCCCTGAGCTGCTGGTAAGTTTGATAATTGAATTAGCATGTCTTCTCTGAGAGGTAAAAGCATGAAAAAACTTTGAATTGCAATCCCCAGCTTTAAGCCACAGAGCTCTGGATTTGTTCCTCCAATATTGTTCTTCATCAAGATGGGCTTTGTCAAGTTCACTCTTCACTAATCCCCATTGCTCCCAGTCTCTGTCCCTGCCCTCAGCCCTCAAAGCAGTCATCTTCTCAGTCAGGACTTTAATGGTTTTTTCCTGGTTTCTATGGTGAGATTTGTGCCAAGCAAGTAAAGCCATTCTGGTATGCTTGATCTTCTGGTGCACCTGGTATAAAGCTGAGCCATCCACACTAATCTGCCACCCTTCCCTCACAGCCTCAGCCACTCCCTCCATCTCTACCCAGCCACTGTTAAACTGGAATCTCTTATGTCTGTTGTTGACCTGAAGCTCAGTATCAAAAAGCAACACATTGTGGTCTGAGGCAGATCTGAAATAATTTGAAGCCTCCATTCTAGGAAATCTGGCCAACCATTCAGCAGATGCAAAGATTTTGTCTAGTCTTTCCTCCACATAGCCATCTCCAGCTCTATTGTTACCCCAGGTGAAAAATGACCCTTTCTGGGCTATTTCTTGCATTTCCATATTATTGATGAAGTTCTGGAAGCCCACAAAGCTACTGGAATTCCTGGCCAGCCCCCCTCTTTTCTCCTCATTTGATATCAAATCATTCCAATCCCCTGCAATCACCCACCCATCACCCCAGCTGCTTCTCCTCTGCTCAAGAAACTCCCATTGCCTATATCTCTCCCTTCTGTCAGTGCTCATATACACAAATATCAGCCAACACCACTCCTCAATCCCAGCCCCTTTAGCCTCTACTTGCACACAAAACTCATTTCCCACAATCTGGTTCACCTCCATTTGAGAATCCCAAAGTAGTAACAAGCCACCTCTAGAACCAACAGGATCCACCAAGTACCATCTGGACTGAAATCCAAGCTTCATACACACAGTATTGGTAAATAATCTACTTTTCTTTGTTTCAGATAGAAATATAACATTTGGGTGGTGGATTCTTCTGGAATCCTTGATCTGGGAAACTGTAGAGGGCCCACCCAGTCCTCTACAGTTCCACACCATGGCCTTCATTGATCACATTGGGGCCATTTGTGTCTGGCCTTCTCCACCAAAGATTGAGCATTGCACCCTTTTTGTTTTTTATCACTGGGTTCCCCTTCCACACAATTCTCTAAGCCCTCAAAGATACTTAGGTCTCTGCTTCTTTTCAATTGGCTATGAACATTAGTATCCTCAGCTGTCACAATATCCTGGGTCTTGGTAGGTTTATTTGTAATTCTCCTCTTCCACTTAGGCTGAGATCTCTTCCGCAAATTATAACAGCATGCCTGCTCTACTCCCTCTACTGGAATAATCTCCCCACCTTGAACGAGTCTGAACGGGCCCAAAAAGAAAAGTCGCGCGAAACACATTTAATGTATCGGTCAAGAGCTTTGGAAAAATATGATTTCAAGAATAATTTGATCATGCAACTATCATTGAATAGAGGGGTTCGTTAGCTACGTATAGGAAAAAACGGAACTCGATTCCGAGTTCAGACGAGCCCAAACGAACCCAAAACACAAAATACATACTACACATTAATATTTTTTTTCATTAATTTAAAAATATAAAACGTATTATCAAAATACGTTTTATAAATAATTATTTATAAAACGTATTTTGATAATACGTTTTATTTCTTAGTTATTTATTAAACTTTCTTAATTATTTATTAAACGTATTATCAAAATACGTTTTATTTATTAATTTTTTTTATAAAACGTATTATTGAAATACGTTTTTCAATTATTTAAAAAAAGTTATATTTTAAAAATATAATTTTAAAACGTATTAGCATAATACGTTTTTTAAGAAAAAAATTAATTAAAAAACGTATTATGAAAATACGTGTTTTTTGTTTTTGTCCATAAATTTTTTTTTTCTTTTTATTTTTGTCCAGTTATTTTTTTTTTTTTATATATATATAAACTACCCAAGTTTGCTTCCTAAGACTAGGCTAGATTATGCATCTAATCTGCCCTTGTCCTATGTTTGTTTACATAGACTGAGGCCTGCAAGATTTGACGAGGCCCGAGATAGAACAATGATTTGTCATGGTTTTTGCATATTAATGGTCTTGGGATGGGGAGTAAGATTAGGTCCACCTCTACATACTCATTTAACTAAATGTCCATATTAGCCCCATAAAGTGGAAAACATTCCCACATTACCCTCCAAACTCCACAAATGTACATCACAAAAACTCACTAATAATTGAAATCATATATTCTATTTTTTCATCCTGCGATTCGTTTTTCATCCCTGAAATTTTTCTTCCCGTCACAAAGATCGACGCTATGATCACCATCTCCCTTAAAAATCCTATTTGCCCATCGTTTCCAAATTATGTTTGCCTTATGTTGTATTTAAAAATGTCCAGTCAGTAAGCTCCCTAAAAAAGTGTGACATAGATACAATTTAAAGTAAAAAATATAGAACGAAGCCCAAAAGATGTGCGAACCATCTCACGAACGGCCCAGGAGCGTGGGATTAGGGTTGTCGGTCCACAGAATTACCTGAAAAACAGTCATTTGATCGGCCTTAGAGTCTTCTCGAGGAAGTTTTACGATCGCTCCCCGTGTGAAGAGAACTGTTAAAGATGATGGCACTGCCCAATATGTCCTGTCAAGCACTGTAAGGATACACGAGACACCACCTTACGCCTCTAGCTGGCACATATCATTAAATGTTCTTTCACATTTTTATGTGTATAAATATCGACCCCTGAAAATCCAGAGATAATCGCATCATTACCATATTACACAACAACACACCTACTATACACGGATGTACTCTTGTTTTATATGTTTTTGTGCTTATCTTTATGTGTTTTATGTCTGTAGTCGAGTCGTTTCTAGGTTCAATTCTTATTTAGCCGATCCATTTTACTTGGCTTCTTATGTTTTTACTTTCGTTTTGTGTTATTATGTCTTGGCGTGCTTTACCGTGTCTCTTGGTGTTTTATAGGTCCTTTTGTTCGAATACTCAAAGAGAAGGAATTGAGGCGAGTCCCGAGTGTACGAGTCAAAACCGAGAACTAATCATCTTTGTCCATTTTCCGAGCATAAGTTTCCCACTGGTTCCAAGAACATTGAGAAGAGCCCCAAGGAATTTCTGTTGTTGCCCAACAAAATTCGAGTGTTTGTCAGATTACTATTGGGACTCGATGAGGATCGTCGAAATCATGCAAGTTACGGACTATCTACGAATTAAACCCTAAGAGAAGCAGAACTAAAGCGAGGGTTCACCGCGTACTATTTTAAATTTTACTGACTCTGAGACGTTTCTGATTACGTCTTTGGAGATCGTCTAAGTCTCATGTCTGTTTGGCTGTCGGACTTGGCCTCCATGTCACCTTGGGCCTCGCCACATTGTTGTGGATGCACCACATCGAACGGGTCTGCCAAACGATAGTCGGGTTGCTACTAGGTCACTGTCAAGTCATCTGGGTCGCTTTCGGGTAGACTGGTGTGGGTCGGGCATGCTGGTGCGTGGGTTGGCTCATGGGTTCACGAGACTACTAGGGTCTGTCGGGTCTCTACATGGCGTGCTGGGAGCGCCTGCTGCCGAGGGTGACTGTGCACCATGTGAGAGTCGTG